TACATATGTACATTGGTAATCTCTCGCTGTCTAACAATCATCACTAAGTTTATAGACTTAAACAACTACAATGATTTGTTTTGCTTATGTCCCTGCAGTTTGGGATAGGGTCATGAGTTTTGAGGTCTCAAATGGGAAGAATTATCTGGCTGGAAGCTGGGACAGTGTGTGAGGGGGTGGGCTGGCTGCCTCACAGGACCACCCTATTGCAGTGCCTGCATTCTGTTGTGACAGCTGATTTCCCTGGAGCAAGTGTTCTTCAGGAGGATGCTGCGAAACTTCTCATGACCTACACCAACACTTTCCGAAGTGGATGGTGCTCCCCTTGGGGAGGGTATGCTGAACAAAACAGAGGGACCAGAATAGCTTCTGTTTGCCCACTTTAAGAAGGGAGCTTCTCAAAGGTATGCTGAGAGATTTTTTTTCCCCTCAAGGGTTTGGTAGGCCAAATAAGTTTGGGAACCTTTCACTTAAAAGTTCTAACACATCATTGCTACCATAGTATATTGAATAAAAAAAGATCACAATGGGGTCAGAAAGATAGTACAGTGGGTAGACCTTGCATGCAGCCAATCCAAATTTGATCTCCGGCACTCTATATTTTTCCCTGAGCCTTCCAGGAGTGAGTCCTGAGCACAAATCTAGGAATAAAACCTGAGCACTGCCAGGTGTGGCCCAGAAACAACAACAATAAAAAAGTTAAAAAAAGAGTGTTTATCACAGCAAATTTTAGGTCTTTGGGTGAGCAGCTCTGGAGATTTACGGCATTTTCTGTTACTCTTGTGTTGGTGATATCTGTGAATGTGAAACTTCACAGCCTGAGTTCTGTGTTGCAGTGGGGTATAAAGGGAAAGAATGGTTCCACTTCTGGTCTGGAGAGAGAGCAGGGTCTTCTGTATCAAGGGTACAGCTCCAGGGCAGCCTCTGCATCTGATTGGGGCTTCTGGCCATGTCTTCATTTCCACCTCCTCTAACACAGACCATGTAGGACAAGTCAGCCAAATACAGCTTATACACCAGCTTATACGCCAGAATGCCAGGATGAGGGCCCAGACAAGTACTAAGCTTCCAGTACAAACAACAGGGATGGAGGAGTGGAGAGTTTATGTGGTCCAGTTTAGTTTTATTAAGCTTAAAGCGGACAGTGAGTGAGGTGGTCTTCCCTTGGGTAATATTCTCTTAGAACATTACAATTCTATATTCTAAGGTAAATCGGAGAGACTAGAGGCAGACAGGGGGCTCTGTTTCTTTTTCTTTTTGGATTTTGAAACACACCCAGATTTCTTTTTTTTTTCTTTTTATTTTATTTTTTTATTTTTTAAAAAATTTTTTTTTTATTAGTGAAACACCATGAGGTACAGTTGTAGATTTACAATTTTTTGTGCTTGGGTTTGATTATACAATGATCAGATACCCATCCCTCCACCAGTGCCCATTTTCCACCACCATGGATAATATCCCCCCCACCCCCATCCCCCCATCCCCCCCTGTCTCTGTGGCAGGGAAATCCCCTGTGTTCTCTCTCTCCTTTTGGTTGTTGTGGTCTGCAAAAGAGGCATTGAGTGGCAAACATGTTCAGTCCATAGTCCACTTTCGACACGCATCTCCCCTCCTGGGAGGATCCTCCAAACACCCTTTATTAGGTGTTCCCTTCTCTATCTGAGCTGCCCTTTCCTCTAGAATGCCCGACTGGCCACTAAGCTATGGAGTAATCCTCCTGGTGCTGATCTCAGCTATTCTTGGGTATTAATCTCATATTTTGTTACTTTATATCCCCCAGATGAATGCAATCTTTCTATGTCTATCCCTCTCTTTTTGACTCATTTCGCTTAGCATGATACTTTCCATGTTGTACCACTTGTATGTAAATTTCATGACTTCATCTTTTCTAAGAGCTACATAGTACTCCATTGTGTAGATGTACCAAAGTTTCTTTAACCAGTCATCTGTTCTTGGGCATTCAGGTTTCTTCCAGTTTCTGGCTATTATAAAGAGCGCTGCAATGAACAAACAAGTGCAGATGTCACTTCGACTATACATTTTTGCCTCTCTGGGATATATTCCCAGGAGTGGTATTGCTGGGTCAAATGGGAGCTCAATTTCTAATTTTTGGAGAATCGTCCATACTGTTTTCCAGAAGGGCTGAACCAGTCGACATTCCCACCAACAGTGAAGGAGTGTCCCTTTCTCGCCACATCCGCGCCAGCATCGGTTGCTTTTGTTCTTTTGAATGTGGGCCAGTCTCTGAGGTGTGAGATGGTATCTCATTGTGGTTTTGATCTGCATCTCCCTGATGATTAATGATGTAGAGCATTTTCTCATGTGCTTTTTGGCCATTCGGATTTCTTCTTTGAGAAAGTTTCTGTTCATTTCATTGCCCCATTTTTGGATGGGGTTGGATGTTTTCTTCTTGTGGAGTTTAACCAGTATTTTGTATATCCTGGATATCAACCCCTTGTCAGATGACACACCCAGATTTCTTAGGGCTTACTTCTAGATCTGACTTTAGGGATAACTCTTGGTGGTGCTCTGGGGATCACAGGCATTGCCAAGAACTGAACGAGGGTTGGTTGTGTGGAAGGTAAGCATCTTACCTACTGTAATATTGCTCTGAATGATAAGGGGATATGTTTTCCAGAAACTACAAGGTATTCAAACTTAGAGGCAGCTACCTTATTGGACTAGAGAGAAAGGAACTTGGTTTGCAGGTAGCTGACTCTGGTTTGATCACCAACACAGCCAGGGATAGACTGAGTATCATAGATTATGTTCCAATCCTTCAGTCCCCCGCCCCCCCCAAAATTTCTCAAACCACAAGGCTTCTATTAGACAAAGTTACAGTTATTACTGAGGAACAAAACAGTCTAACACTTCCCAAGGGCTTGGAGAAAGCACAGTGGAAAGACTGACTTCTATTCTAGGTAATAGGGACTAGCCCAGATGGCTGGAACAACCTTGTTGGTCTTTGATTTCAATGGCCATCTAGCAGCCAGGAAGGGTCCCCCAGCTTCATGTGTTTGAGATCTCATTTCTAGGTTTCTACTCTTCCTCCAGATTGCTGCGTATTGTGCCTCTATAGCAGGGCAGGAGAGGAGCGGCCACTCACAGCTATCAAGAGACCTGAATCAAGATGCTGATGATAATGATGCTAATGATGATGACAGTGATTTGACTTTTGAGGCACACCCTATGGGGCTCCAAGCTATTCCTGCTCTGCGCTTAGGAGTGACTCTTTTCTTTCTGGGCTACACCCAGTGGTGTTCAGGGTTTACTCCTGAGTCTCAGGGATCAATCCTGGTGGACTCGGGAGACCATGTGGGGTGTGCTGAGGATTGAACCCCAGCTGGCCATGTGCATGGAAAGTGCCTATTTTTCTATCATTCTGGCCCTTCAGGAGTGACTGTTAGTGGTGTTCTGGGGAATACAGGTGGTGATTCAAACCAGGGTGGCGGTAGTCATGAGGGGTGTGTGCAAGGCAAGCACTTTAATCCCTAATACTATCTCTCTAGTTAGGGAACCTGATTGTAAAGCCCAGACTTGCACTGGTACATGATCACATTCACCATATTCTCCTGTGGGTTGCCACATGTACTGAGGTGGAGAGATAATACAAGGGGTATGGAGTTTCTCTTTGCATACCCAACCTTGCTTTGATCCCCAGTACCCTATATGGTCTCCTGAGCTCCGCTAGGAATAATCCCTGAGCACTGCCAGATGTACTCCCTTTCCCCCACTCCCACAAGTCACAGGTACAGCCTGGGTTCTGGGTTCAAAAACTATACATGGTTATATTATGCCCCTGTTTCTTTGGGGCCCACTAGAGGGGCAGATTTGTGTTGCCTGAAGATGCTCCTACTTAATTATATATGGCTCTCTCCTAAAATAAGATTGAAGGTCCAAGGGTAGGGGAGTAGAGTTGTTGCTGACGTCCTCCATGGAATTAGCTGTCAAGTCTGGTGTGCTACTGGATCAGCCTGTATCCAGGGAAGCCGCGAGATTTCTGTCTCGTAGGCATTCATTTTTATTATTTTTATTTTTAGCGCAGGACTCACTGAGCAAGGGCTTTGCGCTCAGGGATCACTTCTGGCAGGGCTCAGGGGATTATATGAGGTGCTGGAGATTGAATCCGAGTGGATCACCTGCAAGGCAAGCGCCCTACCCCGCTATACTGTATCTCTGGCCCTAATTTATCGAGTCCAGTTAGGCACCAGGTTAACACACGATTTCCTCATCGCTTATTTATTTATTTATTTTGGGCGGCGGTATGGAGGCGGGTGGCGAGCGGCACACCCAGAGATGCTGAAGGGATATTTTGGCTGTGCTCAGGAGTGACCCCTGGCAGTGCTCAGGGAACCCTACATGGTGTCAGAATGGTTGCGCCGCGGAGGCCCCAAGCAAGGCAGGCGCCTCGACCACCTGCGCCATCTCTGCGCCCCTCACCCTATTTTACAGAGAAAGCAGCCTTCCCGTACCCCGGCCCCCGGCAGCATCCCTGCAGGGCAGTTCCAATAGGAGCAGGGCGCTGACGGCCGCCCGGGACTCGGTGGAAGGCCGTTCCCCAACACCCGCAGGGCGGGCGGCTCCCCAGCATCCGCGGGAAGAGGATGATGCTCCAGAGATGCTCTCTCCCATCCCCGCCGCGCTCGGGCGCCACACCAGCGCGCAAAGGCGCCGCGCAGCGCCTACGCAGCGACGCCGCGGCTCCTGCCGCTGCTGCTTGCTGCGCGTCGGACGCCCAGAGGACCGCGGCCGCGCCCGGCAGCCGTGCGGGGGGTCCGCACCGCTGCTGCCATTGCCGCGGCCCGACCCCGCGCGCACGCGCGCCGCCAGGCCCCGCCCCCGGACCGCCCGGCCCCGCCTCCGCATCGCCTGGTCCCGCCTCCGAGCCGCGGGGCCCCGCCCCCGAGCCGCGAGGACCCCACCCCCGAGCCGCGAGGCCCCGCCCCCGAGCTTCGAGGCCCCGCCCCCGGATTGACCGCCCGAGCCACCGTCCGCGCAGCCCCGCCCCGCACGGCCAGGCGAAGCGGAGCCGGGGCCGCGCGGAGTGTGAGCCTGAGTGTGTGTGTGTGCGTGTGTGTGTGCGTGTGCGCGCGCGCGTGTGTGTGTGTGTGTATGTGTTCGCGGGGCGCCTTCTCAGCCCCGGGAAGATGGTGGCGGCGGCGGCGGCGACCGAGGCGAGGCTGAGGAGGAGGCGGAGGAGGAGGACGGAGGCGACGACAGCGCCCGCGGGCACGGACGGCGGGCGCCGCGGGGACTGGGACGCGCCCGGGGCGGGGAGGCCGGGGCTGGGGGCCGGGCTGCGCCTCCTGCTCCCGACGCCGCCGCCGCCGCCGTTGCTGCTGCTGCTGCTGCCGCTGCTGCTGCCGTTGCCTTGGGCGGCCGAGGCCGCGGCGGCCGCGGCGATCGTGTCGGGCTCCGCCGCAGCCGAGGCCAAGGAATGTGACCGGCCCTGTGTCAACGGCGGCCGCTGCAACCCTGGCACCGGCCAGTGCGTCTGCCCCGCCGGCTGGGTGGGCGAGCAATGCCAGCACTGCGGGGGCCGGTTCAGGTGAGTGCGGGCCGGAGGCTGGTGGGGGTGGGTGGGGGGTCGGGCCCGCGGGACGCCACCTGGAACGCTCGACACCGCTCCAGGCCGGAGGCGGACAGCAGGTGGGGAGGCTGGCGCTGGGGCGCGGCGTTGGGGGACCCTTCGTTTCCGGGGAGATGATGGGCTCTGGCCGCGGGTGGGTGGGTGGGTGGGGAGGTCTTTCTGTTCTGGAATATGAAAAGGTGCGGGGGGGACGGTGCGGGGCTCCGTGGGAGGAAAGCTCTGCGTTCCAGTGAGTATCCAAGGCGGTTACTCAGGAACTCGGCCTCTGTCGGAGGAAAGATGGGAAAGGTGAGCGAGCCGGTCCTACTTCAACACTGCTTTGAGCAGACCCTTGTTCCCCGGCGCGCGCCGAGCTCTCCGGCTCTTTGGGGATGGGAAGAAACAGGTCCCTGGGGGAGATTTGCTGGGTGCAGGTTGGAGGGCCGGGGCAGTTGTGAGAGGAGCTGGGAGAGCCGTGGTGGGTGGCTGCAGATGATGGAGGCGACCGGCCTGGGAGACTGGCTCACTGGAGGTGCAGCGTCTGTGTGTGTGTGTGTGTGTTGGGAGGGGGTTGTCTGTTGGAGAGAGGGTATGGCAGGAGATCTGCGTGCCCCGGTTTCCCTCAGAACTGGACTGTATGGGATTCTGAGTCTGCTTGTTCGGGGCAGTGCCTCTTGGAGCCATCATTCATTCATTAATTAGTAGCTATCTGTTTATTTGCCTCTGCCACTTGTGCAAGGATTTCTGGAAAATACACACAAGCAGATGAGCCAGACTTTGGCCTATTCCACGGGGATTTTGGAATATAGCAAGAGAAAGATATTACGCACAAAAATAACTGTAGTAAGAGCTGCAGAACGCCTCGTGTTTGGGGCAGGTGTTGGGTGAGCACTTTTGATGGCAGGTGTGAGGAGGGGGAGAGAATGGGAGAAAGACGGCAGCCGCTGCTCAGGGATCTTGCAGCCTCCTGTGGGAGGACTGGGATAAGGTGTCAAGAAAAAAAGAAATAAGTGAAAGACGCAAGCTAGATAATTTCACATAATGATGGTTAAATGCTCTCAAGAGCAGAAAACAGGACGGTCTGATTAAAAACCTGTAGCCAGTGGTGAACTTCTGGGGGAACCTCTCATTTTGAGTGACATTTGATCCGCAGCCCAGAGGAGGCAGTGGGAATCTTTGGAATGCAGGGAGAATTGAGGGGAGGGAAGAAGGGGTGACATTGGATTTGAGCGTTGGAGGCCAAGGGGCCTTTGGAAACGGGGAAGTGGAAAAAAAAACAGACAAGGAAGGATGCAGACAAAATTGTGGAGGCCCAGTATTTCTGGTGTCAGGCCAGATATAAGAGTTATAAGAGCGAAATTTGGAACAGTAGAAGTGTAGACTCCACCTGATGGCATGTCTTCTGGAGGAACCAAGAGGATGATGAGGAGAGAGACTCTTGATTTCATGGATGGAGAAATTAGCTAATTGCACAACCGATGTGATGTGGGGCCAGCCACGCATCTCGAGGTGTCAGAGTGGCTTATGAATAGCATTTATTCACTGATTTGTTGAAGGCTACTGTGTGATAGGTCTTGTTCAGCATTTGTGAGCCTTATATTTTGGGTGGAGAATAAGAAATTTAGGGGGCCAGAGTGATGGTGCAGCGGAGGGCGCTTGCCTGGGGAGCAACCAATCTGGGTTTGATCTCCGGCATCTCATATAGTCCCTTGCACACTGCCAGGAGTGATCCCTGCACATCTCACCCCCCCCCCCCCCAAAAAAAAAAAAGCAGTCTAATAAGCAGCTTTTTTCCCCCCTTTCACTTTTTGGGTCACACCCAGCAATGCACAATTACTCCTGGCTCTGCACTCAGGAATTACTTCTGGCGGTGCTCAGTGGACCATATGGGATGCTGGGAATTGAACCCAGGTCGGCCACGTGCAAGGCAAACGCCCTACCCGCTGTGCTACTGCTCCAGCCCCAAGCAGCTCCTTTTTAAAAAAAGTTAAAACAGGTTTTATTTGGAGGTTTTGAGGTTTGGGAGGAGGGGAAGAGACACACACACACACACACACACACACACACACACACACACATAGACAGAGTGAACGCAAGAGGGAACAAGGACATCTGCAGAGTGGAGAGGGAACCCCAGTACATATCACAACATTAGATAGGAAAGTATGAAAGTACACATCTCAAGAGGGGAGTTGCGGGCAACACGTGTTTGGCCACCAAGCACTTTCTTAATGATAAAACTCTAAAGGTTTGGCTGTGAAGGCAAATGAAGAGCCGACTGTCACTTCATTGGGAACAGGCAAGTTAGTGATCAAAATAATCATGATTTACGAGCAGAAAACTGAGGGGCAAGATGGCGTGGCCCTGGTGATGGGGTGGGGCACTCCTGGACAGGCCTAGCCAGAGGGTTGGGGATGGAGGGGGTTATGATAGACTAGAGAGAAGTTCAGTGGCCAGGGCAGAGAGAGCACAAGGCCCTTTGGATTGGTTGGGGAATTTTGACCTATGAACAGTGGAGTGGTATCATTTCCCCTCATTCTCATGACCATGTATGTGTGTAGGTGGGAAGCCTGAGCAAGAATGGCCTTGGCAGTGAGGCTAAAGCATTTAGAATGTGAGGCACTTCCTAAGCAGGTGAATGGTTGGGTCAGCTTAAATTGCGGGGTGCTGCAAGGAAAAAACAGGTATTTTTCCCCCTAGTTTGTTTTGCTTTGGGGCCACAGCTGGTGATGCTCAGTGCTTACTCCTGACTGTCCTCAGGGATCAGTTCGGGCGGGGCTCAGGGACCAGATGGGGTGCTGGGGATCAAACCTGGGTCAGCTGCATTGCAAGGCAAGCGCCCTACCTGCTGTACTATCTCTCTGGCCCGAGGACAGGTCTTTCTTTTCTCTTGGGTTTGCTTTTGGGTAGAGAGAAGGGGATGATGATGAGGGAAGGAAAAACTAGCTCTCATCTTGGGGACAGTGGCTGCTGATACCCTTAATAGATCCCAAGACATAGGGACGTGCAGATCTGTACTAAGCTTGGTTTTTCACGTGTGAAACTGGGTGCTTTAAGGGTGTCCACCAAGCGACAGATTGATGGTTGGAGTCACGGGCAAGTGAGGAAGAGTGGGGCTGTGGGACTGCACGGACAGCCCAGTGGACTGGAGAAGAGCCTCTTGGTAGGGGAATGGGAGTGCTGATGCTGACTGCCTGGCTGCTTCATGTGAGTGAAGTTTCTTCTGGTTCTTGGGAACTGCTGCCTTGGAGCCAGTTCTAGCCGCTCTTTTCTGGGTAGGGTTAGAACTGTGGTTCTGCGAGCTCCGTCATGTTTGGCAATCTCTGGAATACCCTTTTGTCTGTTTGTTTTGGGGTCAGACCCAGTGGTGCTCAGGGGTTATTCCCAGCTTGCTGCTCGGAGGTTGCCCAGGCCAGAATCTGCATGCAAAGCAGGTACCCTAGCCCCCTCCACTGTCCCTAAGGGCCCTGGAATTTATATTTTTTGAAGTGAAAGCAAAAGAAATTTAGGTCTCTGGCCTGGCGGGGAGGGAAGTAGGCAACATACCTAGAGGCACGTGGCCCTGAGTTGTGTCTCCCCCACTGCCTCACTGCCTGAACATCACTGGGTGTTGCTGTGGTGACCCCTGAGCCTCTCTGGGACTGTGCGCTGCATGGGGTCTAGAATCTCTGGGAGGGATCCTGCCTCCATGCTTAGCACCTCTGATCACTTATTATAAAGACATTTTTAGATCACGGATCATCATCATCATCATTATCATCATTCCCTTCTCCTCTTCCTCCTCCCCTTCCTCCCCCTCCTCCCTCCTTCTCGGAGGCGGCACCCGGTGATGCTCAGGTGTTCTTGCTCCTTACTCTGCACTCGGAAACTACTTCTGGTGGTGCTCAGGGAACTTTATGAGATGCAGGGGATTGAATGAGGTCAGCCACCTGCAAGGCAAGTGCTTTACCCACTGTTTGCTCTCTCTGACCCCCAGAGCAAGGATTTTTGGGTTGTTTTGTTTCTTTTTGAGGGTGGGGTGGCATACCTGGCATTGCTTGGGGGCTGTTCCTGCTTGGTGCTGGGGGTCACACTCCGCAGTTCTGGGGAACCAGGTGGTGCCAGGGATGGAACCTGGGGCTCCTGCATTCAGTGTGTGTGCGCCAGCCCCTTGGAGCACCTCCCCAGCCAGTTGAAAGACCTCCACCCCCATCTCCCCTTTTTAAGGAGAAGACAAAGGTGGGTTTTAATAGCGTATGTCCTTTTCTGTTTGTTTGTTTGGGGGCCACTCCTGGCATTACTCAGGGTTACTTCTGGCTGTACACTCAGAAATTATTTCTGGCAGCACTCAGGACTATGTGGGATGCTGGGGATTGAACCCAGGTTGGCCACATAATAAGGCAAACGCCCAAGGCATATGTCTTGGTTTAACTTCTAAACCTCTGTGTTGTTAAACTAAAAGACAAAGAGTGAGTACCGTTTGGTTTGGAATGATAGCAAGTTGGTGTGTTGTTATAAGGTCATAGTTGAAAGGAATGTAGAAAACTAAGGATTTTAGATTTAGCTAAAGTTATCACTGAATGCACATTCTGTGCCAGCAGCCTGGTCAAGCATTTTCATATACATTGTACCAATTAATCTTCAAGAAAACTTTGAAGATGGTTCATAAAATTTGGATTATTGTGTGGTTGTGGTTAGAAAAATCACTTAATTTTTTCCCAAATGAACGATATTATAGAAATGATTCATTACAGAAAATAAAGTTAATGGTGTCAGTTTAATACAGATAACTGTAGAGTGATGCTTTCTAATGCTGTACCACCACTTTCATTCACTTTTATTTGAATTGTCAGTTTTTTTTTCCCTACTTGGGAAGTTTTTCTTTGGAGGATAAATATGCTCTATCAAGTTAGAGAATAAAGATATGAAATTAATTGACGAAATTAATTCGCATTAAGTTCTTTGAACTTCTAACTCTACAGAGCTTTTAGGAGATTAGA